CACCCGTTCCCGTTGGTTTTGTCATTAGGAAAGATGTTGAGCAGCACTTTCTCTGATTTTGATGTCTGAGGGATGACTCAAATAAATGGTCACCTGTTGGACATCCTGCTGCCCCTTCAAGCACAAAGACAGTTTTCCTCCAGTCAGCCACACGTCACCAGTCTGGCTGTAAGGACAGTATGGAGATCAGGGCCAGGTTTTATCCAAACAAAAGGCAAGGGGAAGAAAAGGCAGACAAAGGAGTGCTTCCAAGACACTTGTAAGTAAGAGCAGATAGGAGCCATTCCTACGAGAAGAAAGAACCCATATGGTGTGCTTCACCCACCCCAGAACCATTTGCTGCTAGTGCAGTCTTGTGTGCTTCAGCTGCTTCCAGCTGTAAGGACTGTTTGGAGGGAAAATGCCACCAGGCTGAGGAATATAAATGCATCAAGAGCTTTAAGAGGGTGAAAAACTTGAATGGGGAGAACGTGTGAATGCCATGCAGTGATTCTCCATGGCCTCAAGAAAAGAGATGGGGCAGTAGCACCCTCAAGAAAAACCCAAAGGGTAGAGTAGGAGCCAGAATCTGAGCAACCAGCTTCTCTTCCTGGGTACAGCGTGTACATGGAGATACAACAAAATCTGGCAGCGTAGACAGAAAGTATGGAGGTCGTGACTCACTGTGACACCCACTTGCAGCTGCTCCTCTTCCAACAGCCCGGATTCAAGCACATATACTGAGAAAATTGTTAGGGTTCCTCCTCCTTGTCAGAATTACCCCTTGATTTTCTCGCAAAGCAGCTGCATTTGTTTTATTACAACTCCCGCTTGCATTAACTTCCCCAAATTAACTTCTGTGTGCTGATTTTAAAGGGACTTAGTCTACTAAAAACAAATGAGAGTTGCAAAATTAGTCCCTTTGCTGTTCTTCTTCACATCCTGACTTCTATTTCTGCTCCTGCCACTCAAGAGCAATCTGACAGCAGGTGAAACATTTCACAGTGCTTCTGCTTCCCTTCAGATTTCTCATTTAGGTACTACGTTTGCAGAGTAATGGCTGTCTTGAGGTACAAAGTGGGTCTACGCTTGGCAAGTGCCTCTGCACATGCTGCTGTACAATAGTAATGCTAATTGTCATATTTGGCTTCAGCATATGCACAGTCACATGCTTCTGAGATGATCTCAGTTTCTCTCATTACAAAATCTTTTTTATTTTTGTATTTTAAACTAGTCTGCACTGGAACAAAGAAATATGCATGTCTGGAAAGCAATGCCAATGCAGTCCAGCTCCTGAAGTAACTACAGACATAGATGATGGTAGGTCTAAGGCTTCACATACTCGTGCAGAACCAATGTAATGAAGACACTGTGGTTGAACGAAAGTGGTGTGAGTGTACCTAATCTGAGGGATGATTCAAATAAATGGCCACCTGTAGGACATCCTGCTGCCCCTTCAAGCACAAAGACAGTTTTCCTCCAGTCAGCCACACGTCACCAGTCTGGCTGTAAGGACAGTACAACACTTTAAACTTACATCTTGTCCAAAGTATACTGATAAATACATGTTCATCTCATGGCATCAGCTTAATGATTTCCCTAATTGTTCACAAACTAGGCAGGAAGTTTCCTTGCGATTGGTTTTATCGTTGTAATTGATTGTTCTGGTGATGCCACGATACACGATCAAATAATGAGCACGATGGAGTGAGCACAGAGAACAGAAAGGTGACAGGCCACACTGAGCAGAAGCCCAATCTGCTCACCTAGAGACAGGCCTGGTGCTCCTCAAATTAGTCTCTTTATTCCTGTGCATGCACCAGGATGCAGAGGTATGAAAGATCCTGTGGCTCAAATGGTAACAGGGGAAGGTGGGAGACCTGAGTGCTTCCAAGAAACAGGGAAAAACTGGTGATGCACCTCTGACACTGTACTCTCTTAGAGTAACAGGAGATGATCTAGCAGAAGGTTTAACAGGTGACCCAACTGTCATTGTGGAGACCTCAGGGCCTGTGAAGCACTGTGGGCAGTGCAGCAGGATGCCACAGAGCACTATTGGTTCCAGGGGATACAGCAATTGCTGCACTGGTTTGGTTTCACACCTGCTGAGCACCAGTTCCTACCACTGCTTGCCATGGGTGACAGATGCTCCTGGCAGCATGCTAGCATCCTGCTGAGCATAAGCATGCCATGCAGATGGTCCACAAACCCTCATAGAGCCCATATGGCTGCTGAGACAGCTCATGGCCCTGAGCTGCCCAAAATGGTGTGCACATCCGTGGCAAGGAAAAGTATTCCCAACATCACCCTCAGGACAGTAAATCAAAGGGAGCCTGGCGAGCCACACAGTCCTGTCTCAGGTGATAAAAGCCTGAAGCCAGGCAGACAAACCACAACTGGATCAAGGGGGGAAGCCACAGCTGCTGTAGGGCTTGGCTGTTCTCCTTGGTCATCTCTCAGCAGTAACTGCCAAGTAAAGTTCAACCAAAGCTCTCCCACCAGTTCTGCTTATAGACCTGAGAAATGCAGAACAACCAAATTGCCACCAGTTTTACACATAATTAGCAGAAAAAAACTTAAATTCACTTCTAGGCACTTCACATACCAGAAACACCATGCGTGTCTGCAAACCTCATAGACACTTCTGTTCGTCTCTCTATTGTCTCCATAGACTGACACAGCAGTAATGGGCATTCAGCCTTAGATTAAAAGCAGGCGGACAGGCTGGGATTGCTCTTTTAAAACACATCAAGTTCAGGTTCTGATTTGCATCCAGGTGGATTTATCCTGGATTCCCCTGCATTGATGATTTATGTAATTTCTATGAAGCCACACCAGGTGAAGTTCTACCAAATAGCTTTACCAGATGTCACATTAAATGAGAAAAGTTTTGTCCCAGAGTCATCAACACATCAGTCACTGTCCTTAAATTACTGTAGTAATTACTATACCTACTTAATCTTGCCCTTGATGACAACTATCACCAGGTTCTTCATGAGATAGTGTGAATCTTTACATTTCCAGGTATGTTGTTTATATATTTCCAGATATATATTTATATATTTCCAGGTATATTGTTTACCTCAGCAGCTATTCTAGAAGAGCTATTCCTGTTAATGCACCAACACAACCTCCTGGAGAAGGCACCTTTCTCCCCCAAAAAACAAAACATTAGTAAGGTGGAAATAATTCATTCCCGTTGCAGCATTAGATCATGATCAGCTATGCTTAGATCAGAATAATCACACTATTTCAATTTTCTCATTACCACAGCATAAACAAACTTCTGGGTTTTGTTTTAATATAAAAGAAAGCCAAATGTCACATTTTGATTCATTTTTTTTCCCCTGGCAAAATCAGTAAAAGAATAAAACAAGTGCTTCCAATACATTTTGATGGATACCTCTGGGGCTGACTGTAACTGCCCTACTACCAGCAGCAGCTCCAGTGCTGGCCATTTGCTCGGCAGTGTGCTGTGAAACAAAATGAGACATCCCATAGTTTCAAAGTCCCTGCCTACCAATCAGAAATTCTGAAAAAGCTGAAGGCAGCTCCTTGAAATAAAGCCAGGAGGGCAGAAATAATGTGAAATGTGCTGGTTCGCATAAAATTCACACCTCATCTTAGACAGCTCAGCATAGAATCAGAGAATGGTTTGGGTTGGAAGGGATCTTTAAGACCATTTAGTTCCAACTGCCTGCTACAGACAGGGACACCTCCCTCCAGAGCAGGTCGCTCACACCCCATTCCATGGCCTTGACATGTTAATGCTTCAGCTATTTTGTACATTTGCTGCCTGTTTTTAGTGCTCCAAGGCATACACTTTTAAGGCAAAACTCCCATAACGGGAAGCCTTCAAATGTAGTGTTTCCTGCAGAACACTTCTCTGGAAAACACTTCTATAACCCTATGCCAAGGACTTTGCTCTTTAACCATAAGCCATGTAAGACACATCAGCTGTTGATCCTGGACATGGAACCCATAAGGGAATCACAACCTATGATTTCCACCCTCTTGAAAACCAGCACACGTCAGCATGCTTGCACACCCTGAGATCAGGAGGCGCAGCAGTAAAAACTAAGGGCAAGATGCACAAGTGGTATCTGCACAGGGACAGGTCCAAAGAAAAGAGCAAAGGCTCAAGAAACACCACAACATGGACAGAGCTTGGCCAAAGATAGATAAATGTCTGCTGCAGAGCACTGTGACCTGACTTTTTTTTGCATATTTCCTTTTGAAGCAATGAAACTCTGAAAAAAAAAGGCTTATTTTTTCTTCTCTAAGTAAGAAATTGACATTTAATTCATCACGAGAACATCTCAAGTGCATCAATATATAAATCAATCATTTAAATTGATGTAAGAATACAAAAAGGCTGATTCTTTTCCTAAAATACTTTGTTGATTTAAAATAACTACTTTCCAGCAAAGTGTTGAGCGAAGTATTTGAAAGTGTTTGGAGGACTGGAAGGGAATCTTCTCCTCTGTGCCCAGCCCTGGCTGAGTTGTGCTTTCCTTCTACCTCACTGCAATACTTGCTTTAAAATCAAGTCTATTCATACCAATGAAACTCTCCGACATGGGAGGAAAATGTGAATTGTGTTATAAAACCTAGAAAGTGATAAACACTGATAGAAATAATAAAATAATAGAATAATAGAATGGCTTGGGTTGGAAGGGACCTCAAGGATCAACTCTTCTTCAAATCCTACCTTTGGTGAGAAGAGGGAAAACAACTGCCTGTACAACGTGCTCCTGAATAATTCCTAGCACCGTTTGGTTGCACACACATAGAATCATAGAATTGCTCAGGTTGGGAAAGACCTCAGAGATCATCACATCCAACCATACTACCCTAACCATACTACCCTAACAACCCTCGTGGCACTGAGGGCCATGGTGGGATGGGTTGGTGATCTTACTGGTCTTTCCCAAGCTGAACAATCCTAACATTCTGTATGTTAAGTGGGAGAAGAACGCTGTGCAGCTCAACAGACATCAAATGAGCTGCTGGAGGCCCACCTGTTTTGTTGGAGAGTCGGAAGGACACCATCTTGTCAGGGATGCTGCAGACATTCCTCACTGAGGCGATGCAGCTGTAGTTGGCGTAGTCCTGAGGTCGGAGGTTCTTCAGCTTCAGGATCTTCGTTTCCCCCTGTGCGAGCAAGAAAGAGCGTTAGGAAAAACCTGTGGAGGGGGAGCCAGGAGGACTTATTATTTTAATGATTATTTTAGACCTTGCTTTTGTTTTGTTATAAGTTACTTCAGAATTGCTTAGAACTTATCTTTTTAAATAGCAGAAAAAAAAACAATGACTGGCATAGCCTGACACCATAGCCCACCTTACATACATCGAAAGTGAGAAAAAAAGAGAGGGGGAAATTGTGTTGGCAGCCTTAGAAGTCACAGAATTATTCTGGATATCGTATCGCAAGGTACAATCTGCTTGATGAAAAAAGCTACAGAAATCTTGCTGGCTTTCCTTTGAAAATGAGCTCCTGATGGGTTTTATTTTTAGCCAGTTAAAACGATGGAAACGACAATCCAGGGGCCTGAGTGGGATGCGAATGAAGGAGTTCCTTCTGACACAGTCGAGTGAAAACTGCAGTTTTCTACAAGATTTCCACTGCCATCTCCTCCTTCTGCTGCCCACTTCCAAGTCTTTGCCTCTGTTTATTCCAAGAAGCATCAAGGTTTGGAATGGCAGAGCACCCCGGGAGGCCAACAGTGACCCACAGCTCACAGATCAGCCAAAAGCAAACTGAAAAATGCCCATTGTCCTGTGTCTTGCTCAAGCTGCTACAACTTTTGATTTCCATATGCCTTGGGAAGCATCTTCAGTGTTTTTAGTAACATCATGTGCATCACCTGCCTGGGTGTATCTAGGGGGGAATGTAGTTTGTGTAGCTGTAGTGTGTGAAACGAATGTAAAGAAATCACACAAAAAAAAAGCAGTAGAGGAGAAGATACAGATAGCAAGAAAAGAAAAGAGGCTGGGAAAGAGACTGTCATTAAATCAAGCTCAGTCAGTGTTTGGAGCATGGGAACTGAAGTGCTTTGTATGTACAATCAGTCCCACAGAAATGATGTGATTAAAATCAGGCTCACACTGATTCAGTCTTTGCACGATCCAAGCCTGGAATGGCTGATCCTGAGGATAAAGGTCCTGCTTTGAGAAGGGGTTTATCTGGACTAGAGAAGGGCCTGATCCAGGGCAGTGGGAACAACATTACCCAAGTGATTAACTTCTGGATTGGACCCAAAGAGCAGCAGCTCAATCCTTAGCTGCAGACTCCAAGTTGAACTGGTGGGTTGAACTCACGATGGCATTCTGGATCATGTCCCTAGATTGTAGAGATTGGTAAAAATATATATATTTTCTCCACTGGTCCATATAATTAGTCTAATTACGTCTAATTGTGTAATTATTGTAAATACAGCAAATTCAATCTTGTTCTGAGGCTGTGCAATTACAATGTGCAACGAGGAGGATGCAAACTCTTTGGAAACAAATCTGCATCAAGATTTCCATTTTGAAAAGTTCCGTATTTCAGCATTGCCACAGATGAGAACACACACGTTGGCTTTTTTTGCATTTGGGTTGGCTTTTTTCCCCATGGTAGCTGAAAGAAGTAGTCGACATTACCTGACTCATCACAAAATCAGTGCTTAAAGTTCAAGAATTCCCTCTTATTTGCCCTGTTTTCAAAGGGTCTCCTATGATTTCACACAGTAAGGAATCCATTAGAAAAAAAATGCCCTTTTTGGGTACTACGTTTCCAAAAATTGAATTGTTACCCTTTGCTTTCATTTACCTTTCCTTGGATTTTCAGATTGATAACCCAGCTTCAGAGCAATCAACAAACAAATGCCACCTCCAGTTCACATCTTTCAGAACTCTGCAGTTAAATCTTCTCCACCTCACAGAATCACAGAACGGCCCGGGTTGGAAGGGACCTCAAGGATCACGAAGCTCCAACCCCCTGTGCCATGCAGGGCCACCAACCTCCACATTTCACAGCAGCCCAGGCTGCCCAGGGCCCCATCCAACCTGGCCTTGAACACCTCCAGGGATGGACGGGGCATCACAGCCTCTCTGGGCAGCTGTTCCAGCACCTCACTGCTCCCATAAAGCACCTCTCTTCCCACCAGCCCTTACTGGTTGTTACCTCATCATATGCAGAACCAATTATGCAAAGACGTGTGGTGGACATTTATGACCTTTAAACCTTTAATTACATCCTTTCCCTTTATAAACATATATCGAATCTTGTAGGCATACAGATGAGGTACACTAATTCAACTAGACCTCCAATAAATATAAAAAACATTGTGGATGAGCTTTGGACTATCAACACAACCATGTGATTTATTCATTACTTCATCCCAGACAGAAGTTCTAGAGTGAATGCCTCCACTAACCTGACGATCTTTTTTGATTCTAATTTCATGTGACACATTTTATTTGATCCTTTCTTGCATGATGATAGGAAAGGTATTCACTGGCATTTCCATACTGAGATATAAGGCAAAAAGGAACCCCTTAAAAGACACTCTCACTTTCTAATTAAATTGTAAAAATACACTCATTTACACACTTGAGTCCAAAGAAACAAGAAACATTTGCTAAACTGAACCTGCACGCATTAAATTAAAAATAATTTCATCACTTTTAGGAGACCAATAACTTGACTGCGTAATCTAATTCTCATCTCTGCAAGGTTCCAGGCTACGCATTTCTCAGTAGAATACCAAGCCATGGTAGCAATATAAAGCTGTCAAGCATAATAAGAAGAAAAAATGAAGGTGCTTTCAAATCATTAGCTGAAAATTATTTATGAAATCTGCAGCATGCTTTCTGTTCTGAAGACCAAATTAATGGGCAGTTTTCACTTGTCTTTACTCGTTGTTGCTTGAGACTTTACAAAATAACACTGTTTTTTGGCGTTGCTTTTTTTTTTTGCAAGCACCACTGCACACAATTCTCCCCAGACACTGGGATGTGCCACCTTTTTATTTTGAGACTGTGTAAGTGTGCTAACAATAAATTAAGCTGATCTAACTTGACAGACCCTTTTGTTGGCCCTGTCTGCTTTCGTGGCCCTAAGCGATGGTGGGAAGATGTACAAAAAGCACTGCCTGCCATTTTTGCCACATCATCCTTCAAGAGTGCAAGTCTGGAACAAAATAACTTGTATTCAAAGCAGAGAAAGGTAGAATAACAGTAATAAAATAATTTAAGAATCCAAAAACTGGGTGACCACAGAGTTTAGCCTACTGAAATGCTTTAGAGGCTGCACCTTCAGAACAGAATGTATGAATAGGAAATAGCAGTCAAGTCTGAGGACTGGGCTTGCAAGCCCAAGCAAAATGACTTAGGGACTCCTGCAGATCTCACTCCCTGTGCGTCTTCCTGCAGCCTCCTGCCTCCTCATTTCCTTACCAGCAATTAAAAAATATCTTTTCCATGAGCAAGCTGTGAATCCCCACCAGCAGGGATGCGCGGACAGAACTGCCGCACGTCCAGCCTCAAAGCCTCTGTGCAAGGAGGGATGGAGCGCAGCCCCACGGCTCCTACCTGTGTGAAGAAGGGCTCGTAGATCTCAACTCCCTTATCAGAGCCCTGCAGCAGCACCTCCTGGCCACGTCTCCAGCTGTAGCGGACGGGCGGGTTGGAGTTGGCCACGCACCTGAGGAACACAGTCCTCTCATAGTAAAACTGCTCTTTTGCTTCACCGATGCTCTGGTGGACTGTCACTATCGGGTCATCCAGATCTGGAAAGGCAGAACAGAGAACCGAGGTCAGGTCATTGCTGCAGCCTGCAAAATAGACACGATACAATGGTAGCATCCATCATTTCTGATACGTTTCCACTAATGTTTAGGTTTCACTTGGTTTTCATCTTCACTGTTTATTTCATACATATGATTTCAATTTAAGCATCTCTTCGACAAAATAGTTTATCAAGCTTTGGTAATAAATAGTCAGATTCATTTGCATCCTAATGGCAGGATCCAGTAGAATGCTGATCATGCTCATGCATCCATTTTCCTTTAAAGCAGCAATTTAATACAGCAGTTTAATGCATATTTCCTTATTTTGGTCGTACGCATTAAACTTCAAGCAGGTAAATTCATTCAGGCTTTACAACACACTTCTCTTGATTAAAATACAGATATCATATAATTACTCCCACCACATCATGGCAGAGAGAATTAATTCCCCAGAACAGAGTTTGTTCATTTTAAATTCAGAAGAAATAGAGATAGCCATTGGAATGTAAATACACCTAATGAATTACATGTGGGCTTTATTCCACCAGGAACAAGTAGACCCCTGTCAGTGGGGGTTTGCTATAGTTCATTACCAGCAAGGACAGCAACGGCTGCTGCTACTCATTCCTAGATAAAAGCATTCAACCTCCAAGCAACGTGGTCAGCAGTTCTGCATTGAGCTTTAGGGAAGAACTCTGCTGCCCGACAAGCTGGCAGCCAACGTGGGTTGCTGCCCAGTGGTTACAGCACATACACCACAGGGTGTGGGAGCAACTGGCCCCATTAGACCCACACTGCACACAAATAGACCCATTTTGCACACAAATATGGCACGTTTCCATGTGCATCTCAGCTTTGCCTGGAATAACTGCAGAATGTTGTTAGCAGCACTTTTTTTTTTTCTCCTTAAAATAAAATATAAATAACACGTCAGGTACTGCTTAATTATTTACCCAGAAACACAACCATATCATCGCAAAGGCTTACTACACATCAGTGCCTATCCAAATAGAATGCATCACACCCCAGGCCATGAATCAGCAACACACAGAACCCTGAGCTCAAACCTCATCCCAGCCAGCAGTGCCAAAGGGAATGGCGCTGTGTCCAAAGGCACCCACACCTCTGTTCCTCTTCATAGCATCATATGGCCTGGGTTTGAAAAGGGCCTCAATGCTCATCTAGTTTCAACCCCCCTGCTGTGTGCAGGGTCGCCAACCAGCAGACCAGGCTGCCCAGAGCCACGTCCAGCCTTCAGCACTGGGTTGGGTGCTTTGGTGGAAGCATCACTTGCATTTCGCTCCCCCAGGTGCCAGCTGGATGCCACCGCACAGGACTCTGCAAGATGGATGGACCTCAGCATAGCAGTTCTTAAAACATTTCCATTTTTGTTAGTGTAGAAATTTAGAGAAACAAAACATTAATAAGTGAAGCCCGTCATTAACAATCTGATAGATCACCATACTGAAGAACAGACTGCACTTATTCTGTAGAAGCTTATACTTGCATGTGTGCAACAAGAAAAAAGCTTGAATGTCTCGATCAATTATAAACAAAACATGTTCCAAAATTTGGAATAATTCAAGCAATAATACTTTGCAATGGTGTATGAATTTTAAGTAAATGTTATCTTCTCCCTACTCTACAAAACATTTTTGTGAATATCACAGAAACAAATTGTGAATCTGTTGTTCCAGATTAGGATGGCATTTTCTAATGAGATCTCATTTTTGTTTTAAAGGTTATTTTAAATCACAGCAGCACTTGAAAAGGGATGGGATTGCGGAAACGCCATCTTCTACTCACGCAATAGGAAATAAAAGGAAGAAAATTAGACTGCTTCAGTTTGTAGCCCATACACCTGCAGAGATCCAAGCCCTGGGCCATGATCCGGACTAAAATGTCATTTTGAGGAAGTTGCTCAGGCCTACACACACACTGCATGGCTTAAAGCCTGAACACGGGGCTAGAGATGAATCACAGAAGTGCTGAGGTTGGAAGGGACCTTAAAGATCAACAATATGTGAAGCCTATGGGCGTAATGTCCAAGCCGTGGCAGGATGAGGCTGGCTGGACATGGAACTGCTTGCATGAGAGGCCTGGAAGTCTTGGTGGAAAAGCTGAATGCTCAACCCTACATCTATGAAGGCTGGTCACATCCCAGCCTGCAGCAGCAAGAGTGCAGCACATACAGGGCACATACAGGATCTCCCCTCCATCCACACCTCTGAGACATCCTGAGCTCCATGTCAGCGCTGATCTGTCTCCATTCCTCAAAGAGGAAGGCATGGATGTGCTGGAGTGAGCACAGAAGGCACCAAGAAACAGAGGGCTGAAGCAGGGGACATACATACAGGTGGGGACTGGAGGGGCTCATGTGGCCAGCCTGGGGGAGAAAGTGTGGAAGGGTGACCCAACGTCTTTCTCTGACTGACTACAGTCTTCTGTAGAGAAGATAAAGGTCAACTCTTCCTAGCATTACAGAGGAAAAAAATCATGAACCAACAGGTATATGCAGCACCCAGAGAAATTATTTCTGGCTGAAGGTGAGAAACTCCTCATGAGATCAGACTAGTGCCTGGCCAGGGTCCTAGAGAGACTGTGGGATACCTGTCCTTGTTGGTGTTCAAAGCTTGACATGCTGTGATTAGAACACGGGGTTGGATTAGCTTTACCCTGTGATACTAAGAGTGATGCCATCCCTTGCTCGTGCTGCCTGCCCTCTAGCAGTGGGTCTGTGTGCTCTAACCCCAGCAACAACCAGCTCTCCTCTGCAACAGAGAGAAGCACGTGCCCTCTGTCCACATAGCCCTGATGTGGGATGGATTCTGATAAGAGTTAAAGAAACCTCAAAGAAATCTAAGTTGGGAACAGAAACGCAGCAAAGCTTCTGCCAAAGCATTTCGTAATGGTTAATGAATACAAAATTGGCACTGCTGATTTTTCCATCAGCAGTTGGGAAGATCTCAACACCTGCATCACAGCAAAAGAAGAAGCACTAATAGGAGACAAAATAATGCTTGCAATTGTTGTCACATTTCGCCAAACAACTGCCTGCCCTGCTGCGCTGCAGGGTTAGACAAATGTTTCATTTTTGCTGCCTTGTTATATAAGGCTGCATTTTGCTCAGACAGTGTGAGAGCTGCAGACATAATACAAAATACATTTCTTATAATACTGCCAAGGTATTCTGCAGAGCTATTACAGTGGAGGCAGGCCAGTGCCAAATTGATAACCTCTGGGCTATTTTAAAGCCACCTGATCAGTATGGCACTGATGCTCACTTATCAGACATCTCCTGAACTCCAGTTTTGATGTTTAATTGAATCGTCACTAATATTTAAATTTTAAAATAGACCAAAAAGAAAAGACAAAAAAAAAAAAAAAAAAAAAAGGACATTTAAAGCTTGGTGCATATGTTTAAGTATCTGTGGGAGACTGTTCTTCCATAGCAGCATGTGAACGGCCAAGGCTCCCAGCCTCTCAGCCTTGGGAGGAAGCCATTGACTTCTGCTATTGCACACCATTAACCATCTCAACAAGATGCATTTCTGACGTGCCTGATGAGGAAAAAAAAAAAAAGAAATTCTAAAAGTTTCATTTCCAGGATGATCAAATTATGAAGAACTAACAGAATAATCAGTCTCCGTATTAAAATGAAGTCGTGAGTGTTGCTATGTAGTTGAAGTCTATAATTAAAACGAAAATAATTACAGAAGTATGTTTTCCACAGAGGTTTATGCCATCATTAGGTTCAATTTTTCAGTCTTTAATCTTTGAATTGAACCAAACACTTTGTGAAGCCCAGATGGCACAGGCATGTTCAACACCGCATTGGAAAAATTCCCTTCGTACATCCCGGCGTTCTCAAGCAATCCCAGCATGAACAGTTCCAAATGGGTCTGATCTAAACAGGTCGGGAATTGCAGCGCTGTGGTTGGCGATGTCGGTGTAGGAGGTGTACAGAAGAATGGCAGATAATGAATATCCTCTGTATGCTGAATGGCAAAGCACTGGAGAGCCCACTGGCTGTGGGCAGGGAACACAGACGGCGTGCTGCAGCCCTCAGCTGAGCTCCAGGGAGTTTCATGTGGGCACTGTGAAAGTGGGACCACGGTCTGCATTTGCTATATCGTGTTTTTCCAGCTGCTGGGACTGCACAGCTTGCTGATTTCATTTGTTAATTAGCTGCCTTTGTCTTCAGATGCTCAAAGCAAGCAATGTTTGGAAGTCAGGATAATAATAAATAAACCACGCATCTGGTAGACGGATTGAAACTGCCTCATCAAGACACCCACAGAGGAGGCAGCAGTGATGCATGCATTCAGCCTGCCTAACTTCATTCTTACATTGCAAAACACAAGGTTCTTCCCACAGTTTTCCTCACTTTAGCCTTCTTGGCCTAACCTAAGCTATCAATACGTAGGCAGGTTTTAGGTGTTCGTGGTACGGTATGACAGAAAGCAGTTGCACTTGATTTAGAAAATGGATAAAAATCCAACAAATGTGTATTCCTGCATACCTGCAGGAAAGATAACAAACTATCCTGTCTGCCATCCATTAGCACGTAGCAGTGCTCCAAACAAGCTGGCTGGAGGCCAGGAACAGGGGAGCCAAGATTCTTGCAACTCCACACGAGATAACTCTTTTTTTTCCTTCCGCAGCGCCTTGTAAGAGATTCGTAATGCATATGCAGTGCTGCCCTACATGTGCAGCACAGACAGAACCCCAGAAAGTACACATCATTTACAAGGGCAGAGCTCCTAAGGCGGCCAGGCCTCCTTGTGAGCTCCAACAAGACCAGCACTGTGACCTTGGCAGATCCCCGATGAGCTTATAGAGACCTCCAATAGCATTTTGCAAGGATCAGACATGTGCTAGAAGGCTGGAGGGGTGCTAACATCCACAAACAGACATCAGTCCCTGTACAGACCCTTCTGCTTGCTTTGCTCTGCAGAGGGCTGGAATCTATCAGCAAAGAGTCAGAGAAAAGAAAAATA